TATATTATATTGTATATTTTATATATAATATAATATATACTTTTTGGTGTATAGACTTTATTTTACAACAGAAAAGCATTTCTGGCTATTTGTGCCTGTTCAGTACAAATTGATAAAACTGAAATGATATTTAAAAGGATTTAAAACAAAGGGGTATTAGTGGTTTTATTGATTCATTTTTGTGTTTTTCTACCTTTTTAGCAAATTTTAACTTTTATGTTTTATCCCCTTTGTTTTAAATACTTTATTACTCCAGCAGTCACTTTTAAATATCATTTCAGTTTTATCAATTTGTACAATAAAGACTGAAGAGGATTTATTGTACAAATGCCTGAAATGCATTTTTATTGTACAAAATAAAGTCTATATTATTCATCAAAAAGTGTTCTTATATGATAAAGTCTATATAGTATTTATGACTAGGTTTGTCTACACCATCTCAAGCAGCAAAATTCAGACAGACAAAGTGCTCAGAAAAGCCTCTCAAATAACAGATTTATCAGGACTGATGCTGAAGCTATTACATCTGCTCTGCATACAAGACAAGTAGCTCTTTGAAGAAAGTCTGATAGTGCTAATTAACTTCTCATTACAAAGCAAAACAATATAATCTGCATATACCTGGACATATAACTCAGAACCATTAAGATCTCTCAAAAGACTATCTACAACAAGACACTATGTACAGCAAGCGTAAAAGAATGCCATCTTGAAGGCAACCTCAAATAACACAACACACAACAAATTGTAAAAAGAGAGATCACTGCATGTGATAACAAATGCATAAAGTTAGTTTAGATTAGTTATGAGCCGTGTACAAGCCCTGGGGGCTTTGTTAATGTAATTTTATTTTTCTGTTTTCTGCTTTGTGTCATGTACCCTTAATTAAGCTGATATTCATCATGAAGAACATTCAAATTGAATTTAACCAGTGAAACGATGAGAATTTACATAGTAATACCCAACAAGTGAATGATATTAATTTATAAAATATATATTATTAGTTTGCATATCATTGGTATATGTTACTTTAGTATCTAGTGTACTGAACTATTATGAAATAAAATATTAAAATCAAATCAGATATTTTGGTACTTAACAGGCCTGTAATTTTGTAAGAAACATACATACAGCTGGCCAGAAATCTATAAAGTTCACTTGTGGCTGCATCCAGAAAAGGTTGTTCATCACTGGTCTAGAGAACAAGAACAAGACTGATACCATGTTTAAGTACAGTGCATTTATAGCCTCAAATGAGGTTTTATTAAAAATACTCACAATATCAAAAACAACAACTTATACAATTTCCTTGAAATCTACTGCTTTCTCAATTTAGTAAAATCAAATTGTGTAAAACAGTCTCATAAGATATGCCAGATTGATAAGTGAATTGAAGTGAATGGAGACAAAACTTACTCGAACAATTTTCCTTTAGATAGCAATGAGCTTTTCTAATGCGTATGAAAGATATTAGGCTAACTGGTCTAAAATCTTGACTTCAGAATAGGCTTTCTTGCCAGGCTTGAGAATAAATTTATGTTAATCAGCTGGTATTCAAGCACAATAGATTTGTCAAACAATAGAAGTCAAAATATCAGCTCTATATTACAAGTGAACCAGAATAATAATACCAGGCCTAGCTGAAATAGGTCAAATGATTTTATAGCCCATTTGATCATAGAAATAGAAGCCATCAGAAATGGTCAGTTGGGGCTAATCAGACTGTTGTGGATTCCTATTCCCCAAATTAAAATTTGCTTTTAAATTTTCAGTCATTTTCAGATATCCAAGAGACTGTACAGAGGAAACTAAACAGCATTTGTTAAAAATACACCTAAATTATTGTATGTGTGTGCAAACATTTGTATAGCTCATGGAGGAATATATATGAAAACTGATACTAAATTAAATCATTTATGCCAAAACTTTTTTATAAAGTAAACCTGTGAACTTATACATACCTGTACTTACTTGTACTTGTAACTGTCAAATTTATTTTTCATTTAAAATGAGAAAGAGTATTACCAGTTAACTATATGAACTCTAACCTCATCTCAAAATTCAATGAAAGAAAATTGAAATTACTTCTGATGCTGTTCTGTTTTAACAAAAATCAAGAAAATGCATTTTTTAATTTAAAAATAGCTGTTTTAATATTAAATGAGAGCCTTTAAGGAAAAACATGGTAAACCACATTTGGTAGTGTCAGGTTTTCCAATAAGTAAAAAAGAAAAAAAAACAAGAGGATTTCATTAAGAATATTATAGCAAATCATTATCTATTGTGACATCGTCACAATGCCTGGTTACAATGGGAATGTTAACATATATAAAGTAGTTTCAATAATAACGTAAAAAATTTCAGAAAGTAAAACGCTAAAAATTGCATTGTATATTTTATATATAATATAATATATACTTTTTGGTGTATAGACTTTATTTTACAACAGAAAAGCATTTCTGGCTATTTGTGCCTGTTCAGTACAAATTGATAAAACTGAAATGATATTTAAAAGGATTTAAAACAAAGGGGTATTAGTGGTTTTATTGATTCATTTTTGTGTTTTTCTACCTTTTTAGCAAATTTTAACTTTTATGTTTTATCCCCTTTGTTTTAAATACTTTATTACTCCAGCAGTCACTTTTAAATATCATTTCAGTTTTATCAATTTGTACAATAAAGACTGAAGAGGATTTATTGTACAAATGCCTGAAATGCATTTTTATTGTACAAAATAAAGTCTATATTATTCATCAAAAAGTGTTCTTATATGATAAAGTCTATATAGTATTTATGACTAGGTTTGTCTACACCATCTCAAGCAGCAAAATTCAGACAGACAAAGTGCTCAGAAAAGCCTCTCAAATAACAGATTTATCAGGATTGATGCTGNCAATGGCAGGAACGCTGGGAGAAGTGTATACACTACCAAGGAGACTACTTTGAAGGGGATTAGGGTTTTGTACCTCAAAATCAATAAATTTATTTTTGCCGACCAAAGGTCCGATACTTTTTGAACAGACCTTGTATTTCCATATTTTTATATCATTGAATCTAACTTATCAGATTCCTTTTTGACATAATTATATCATAATTACTGAACTACCTAATAGCTTTTTTATTTAAAAGTTTCTTTTCATTTTTATAAAAAATATTTTGAATGATTATCTGTTAAAATAAGAATTATTAATATAATTGAATTTAGTTCATTATCTAAAAAAGTCAGTTTAAAAGCATAATCATCACAAAGTATATTCATTTAATCACATTTTTATGTTCATTTTTTCAGAGGTGATGTAATGAAGTTTGGTTTTAGAAGTTTTGATTTTCAAATTGTACCATCAAATTCCAGTCATATGCTTATTACTACAGATACAGTGAGTGAATAGACAATTCAATTTTTACTTTTTACTGTTTATTGTATTTAAAACATTTTAAAATTTTGCTAGGGTGCTGTTATTCATTGCACTAGATTTAACAGTAAAATAATTCCAAGGTTATATATATCAAATTCAGGTAAGAAATAATTTACTATCATTTTAAAGCAAGAATTTGAATTTATATACAGTATAAATATTTCAGAATTGCTTATAGAAGCCAGATGTATTGACATTTCTCCTCATGATTTACCATTGTTTATGGTATGATTTTTAATAAATAATAATTTAATAATACAAATTACATTAATATAATTTTAAATAAATGACATTTCAGGTTGGGTGTAATGATGGAAGCATTCGACTACATGATATTAAATTAGGTAAATAAATGTTAATTTTATCATTTCTTTTATTTTAAGATGACAGAACTAAACATTTTCTCTAAGATAATTATTAAATTATGTATGTAGATTAAATTTTAATGCATTATAATTGTTATTAAATAATGTTTTTAACAAATATGTTTAGAAAACATTGCTCAATCTGATTACAACTGTGATAGATATTCAAATAGCCAAAAAATATTAGTCATTTCTGGAGAAGTACTGAATTTGTAACTGTTTGTGAAATTTCGAAATTATATTTAGCCAAAAATGAAAAATATGAACTCCTCAACACGAGGAAAGAACAACTATGTTTTATTAAGTAAAACATAATGGATCTCAAAATTAAGGAGCCATTTTCTTTTAATTTCCAAGATGTTTTTGAGAAGATTCAAAATTTAATGTAACAAGTGATTTTTGAACATTTAAAAAAATCCAACAAACATTAAACTTATGTCCTTTCTCCATTTGTTTTCAATCAAAGGCCATTCTGCACTGAGTTATTAAATCTAAGAACTTACCAGAACTTATCATTTCTATAACTACTGTTTTTTTTAGCCAAACATTTTACATTTTTACAAATTTAATATTTATCAGGTTGTTAAATGTTTGAAAATTTGTTGTTTATCGAAACGTTTGAAAATGTTCAAAAATTAGTTGCTCATTTCAAATGTTTTTTTGAGATTGCTGAAGATGAAAGTTGAATCTTCAGATATGTTTTGGAAATCAAAAGAAAATGGCACCTTAATTGTTGTGTTATACTTAAAAATATGGGATAACTGGACTTTTAGCAACTATAGACCAAATCATTAGAGAACATTAACTATTACAGAATGAATATAAAATTATACAAGGTCTGTTCAAAAAGTATCGGACCTTATTTTTTTCCGCGTAAACTAATGATGTGCGAGAGGCCTCCTTTGGTGGAGTTGTGGAGGGGACAGTCATGCACAGTCGTGAATTTTTTCCCGCCTGCAGGAAGCGTCAGTCGTTGGCAATCGCTCTATGAGTGAGGTCATGTAGTGCGCTCTCGTCGGATTCCACTAAGCTAGAAAATGACTGAACAAAGTGAGCAGCGATATTACATCAAATTTTGCCAAAAACCTTGGCGATACCCAAGCGTAAACTATTCGCAAGATTCAGCAGGCTTTCGGGGACGATCCTCGAGGCCAAAAAAAGCGCGGCAGGCCCGCAGCAATATCAAAGGTCATGTTGACAGTTTTTTCGACTCTCGTGGGGTGGTGTGTCGTGAGTACGCACCACAAGGCCAAACCATCGCAAAGGAGTACTACCAGGAGGTCCTTCGTCGTCTTTCCGATACAGTGCGACGCAAACGACCGGATCTGTGGTCGATCAAAACTTGGCAGCTCCATCGTGATAACGCATCCGCCCATTCTGCGCATCTGATTCGGGCTTTCGTCGCCAAACACAATACTCCTGTGGTTCGTCACGCTCCGTACTCTCTCCACATGGCTCCGTGTGACCTTTGGCTATTTCTCAAGCTGAAAATGCCGCTAAAAGGAACCCAAATTTAGTCGAGAGAAGACATCATGCGAAATGCGACGGACCGGCTGATGACCATTCCAAAAGATGCGTTCCAGCAGTGTTTCCAGCAATGGCAGGAACGCTGGGAGAAGTGTATACACTACCAAGGAGACTACTTTGAAGGGGATTAGGGTTTTGTACCTCAAAATCAATAAATTTATTTTTGCCGACCAAAGGTCCGATACTTTTTGAACAGACCTTGTATTTCCATATTTTTATATCATTGAATCTAACTTATCAGATTCCTTTTTGACATAATTATATCATAATTACTGAACTACCTAATAGCTTTTTTATTTAAAAGTTTCTTTTCATTTTTATAAAAAATATTTTGAATGATTATCTGTTAAAATAAGAATTATTAATATAATTGAATTTAGTTCATTATCTAAAAAAGTCAGTTTAAAAGCATAATCATCACAAAGTATATTCATTTAATCACATTTTTATGTTCATTTTTTCAGAGGTGATGTAATGAAGTTTGGTTTTAGAAGTTTTGATTTTCAAATTGTACCATCAAATTCCAGTCATATGCTTATTACTACAGATACAGTGAGTGAATAGACAATTCAATTTTTACTTTTTACTGTTTATTGTATTTAAAACATTTTAAAATTTTGCTAGGGTGCTGTTATTCATTGCACTAGATTTAACAGTAAAATAATTCCAAGGTTATATATATCAAATTCAGGTAAGAAATAATTTACTATCATTTTAAAGCAAGAATTTGAATTTATATACAGTATAAATATTTCAGAATTGCTTATAGAAGCCAGATGTATTGACATTTCTCCTCATGATTTACCATTGTTTATGGTATGATTTTTAATAAATAATAATTTAATAATACAAATTACATTAATATAATTTTAAATAAATGACATTTCAGGTTGGGTGTAATGATGGAAGCATTCGACTACATGATATTAAATTAGGTAAATAAATGTTAATTTTATCATTTCTTTTATTTTAAGATGACAGAACTAAACATTTTCTCTAAGAGATGAGACAAGAAGTTTGCTTACAAATTCATAAAAATTTTATATTAAAACAGATTTTTCTGAAAATTACATCACTGTAGCTAATACTTAAATTTTTTTATATTAAAGTAAAATTCTAACTCCAGCAAACTTTTTTATATACAGGGTGGTTATAATTAAAGTTGCCCTACTCAGACCTATATAGAGTCTGTTCTCTTTGATGTATTTTGATGAAACTTGGTATATACATTATATGGACCATGGGGAAAAGGAAAATGCAAAAAAAAATAATTAGTTCAAATATCTACCACTAGCTTAAAAAAATGGCACATGAAGAACAACAAACACAAAATGGAAACACGCAAAAGGTTTTTATTCATGACATTTGTTCAATGTGCAATCCATTTGCATCAATCATACGTTCAAAGCGTCAGCTTACAGCTTGTTCAACAGTAGTCCAATAGCTTTCTTGAGAATTTGCAGCAATATGGCATGTTATGCTTGCTTTCAATTCAGGCAGAGTTCATATGCCTCCTCTATAGATACAATCTTTCAGATATCCCCATAACCATACAGCTCTGTCTGAATTGAAAGCAAGCATATTACTGCATATTGCATATTACTGCAATTTCTCAAGAAACCTATTGGGCTACTGTTGAACACATTGTAAGGCGTTTTGAACATGTGATTGATGCAAATTGATTGCACATTGAACAAATGTCATGAATAAAAACCTTTTGCATGTTTCCATTTTGTGTTTGTTGTTCTTCATGTGCCATTTTTTCAGCTAGTGGTAGAAATTTGAACTAATTATTTTTTTTGCATTTTCCTTTTCCCCATGGTCCATATAATGTATATGCAGTGGAACCCCGGTTAACGAACGTCCTGGTTAACGACCAAATCAGTTAACAAACTTTTATTTTGCAAAAATTTTGTCTTGGATAACGAACAAAATTCAGATAATGAACTTAACGGCTTTTTGTGTCAAATTTGTAAGCTTGCTGACTTTTAGAGAAAATCAGTTAATCGTGTGTCAGTGATGGTCTAGGGTCCATTCGTACGTTGGTGGTGGCGGAGGAGACAAAGATGACAAGTATTTTACAGTGAAAATCGTTTATTAGAACAAGAAGATGTTTACATATTTGAGGTAGTTGGAAATGGCTTATGTACAGCATTTTCTCTCGGCACTGAGGAGTGGCGTATCGCTGATCCTACGATAGTGCAAGCTGATCAGTCTTAGCCCCAGAGCGGATGAGATAGGTTCGCTTGGTCACAGAAGCGATGGTAGGTGACAGAGCTGCAACGACTGGAGCAGTCTGCGAAACACAACACAAATTTTAGCGGGCATGACTTCAGGCTTAATCCAGATGAAGATGACACAGATTAATCACCATAGAATTTTTAGGAAAACTGCATTTTGACCTTGAGATTCAGGGTTTTTATAATATTTCTTCCTTGAATCTCACCTTACGATTAGTCCTGCGTCCCATTCCTCGCTTCCTGATTGTTTTCTTCTTTGTCTCCAGGTGAAAACCGAAACCAGATCAGGTCACGAGAAAGGTTTGTTCTGAGGCGTTTATTTGACTCCTGTTCGTCGACTCTGATCAGAGATTGTTGATAAACCTATAAGCCTTTCGCTCATAATTTAGCCTATTGTTTCTGCTATCTGTATATATTCTACGATCGTATGTGATGTTTTTATACCTTTCAAATCTTTTCCCTTTTCTGAAAATTTAACCTAGATCGATTGTTTATGAGCACATTTTCCTATATTTTCATTAAAGAAAACCCATTTTACAAATAAAGTTACAAAAATACTGACGGCTAGAACTAATTAATTGTATTTGCATTAATTTCTATGGGAAAAATTGCTTCGGTTAACAAACGGACTCGTGGAACAGATTATGTTTGTTAACCGGGGTTTCACTGTACCAAGTTTCATCAAAATACATCAAAGCCAATGGACACTATATAGGTCTGAGTAGGGCAACTTTAATTATAACCACCCTGTATTTGGATTTGGATACCTTTTGAATTATTCATTTCTTTTCCCCAAATTTTATTCTTAAATTCAAAGTTATCATTATAATATCTTTATAATCCATATTTTTAATACCTGATAAGATAATAAATAAAAAGAGAAAACATTATTATTGAAATATTTTTGTTCAATATTTTATCATCATAATTCAATTATAGTAAAACTGTAGTTATCCATAACAAAGGGGCTAATCCTATTTTTGATAAATGGTTGTTCAGATAATCCAGAACTTTTGTTTTCAATGTGAATGTGCAAAGAAACAACATGTACTTCTCAAAATGCAATTACAGTATTGTACATGTATAATTATTGCCAAATATATACGAATACTAGGCTGCTTAGTAATTTGATTAAAAAATATTGTACATTCTATGTATACTTTTATTAAAGTTGTTAGTTATTAAGTGATGCAACTTATTTTAATTACATTAGCATATTAGCCATTCATAAACAAACCAAGAAATGTTTATTAAAATGCTTATTTTTTAGATACTCATGTTTTAAATTGTCAAAACTTTTGCTATAATTTTTTAAGACAAAAACACTGACATAATTAATCAAATGTTTAAAATAATTACTATGAATGAAATAATCTATACTAATATTATAAAGAGGTAATGTTTGTATGTATGTATGTATGTATGTTAGTTTGTATGCAGCAGGTAATCTCCGAAACTACTCATCCGATTTCAAAAATTTTTTTACCAATGTTTAGAATGGAACTTCAGGTGGACATAGGCTGTATACAGCCTATGTCCACATTATTCCGTTAAACATGGGGGATGGACAGTTCTTTACGGTAAGCCTTACGGGGAAGGCTTACCATAAAGAACTCTGCTTTTATTTATACTATTTTAAATGTGGTTTTTTGCATTTTTGATTGCATTTTAATAGGGTACGTCAACAGAATGTACTGTACACTAAGAAGGGATTTTTCGATATTCCCCCGGGGGGACAGGGACAGGATTAAGGTTTACTGTGAAAAACTTGGCTTCTATTATACTATTTTAGATGCGGGTTTTTGCGTTTTTGATTGCGTTTTAATAGGGTACGTCAAGAGAATGTACACTAACAAGAAATTTTTCGAAAAATTTTCCCCCACAGGGGAAGTGTTATACATTTATAATAGATACATTTTGAGCCACAACAAGGCGTGGCGGGGTCTGCTAGTAATTATTTATTTCTAAACGTTGTTCAAAGAAATAATGCAGCATATTCAATAAATAAAATCAAAATTTATATCCACTTGCCAAAATTGCAGTTTATAGTGTGCAAAATTTACTGCATATTTTATGCCAAAGTTTACATTATTAAAAAGATTTTCATTCATTTTTAATTTGTAACCATTGTATATTTAAACTAGAATATTATAAGAAAATTGTTAATTATAATAAATTGAAAATCAAAATATGCATCTTTTATAGAAATCAATAAAAATGTTTTTATAAACTTTTCGGAAAATTTGTTGCAGTATTGTTGCTTGAGAATACGTAGTTAAATGCTCTTTTTCAAAATAAAAGTTGAAACAAATATATAAAAGGTAATTTATTACAGATTGGAAATGCAAATTTTCATTTTCATGCTTTAATTAAAAATGCATACTTTGATGTTAAAGAAAACTGGTGTATAAAATTACCTCCTCCTTATTTCAATCATTAATTTTTAAAATTTCATTAAGTCAAAGTTTAAGGAGTAAAATATTTCAACTTTGAGTTAACAACTTTAATATCCAATTTTCTCAAAATCTTCTGTGGTCATAAATGTTATCAAGTCATTTCTCAAGAATCCATTCATAGAATAATTACAAAATTAGCATATAGTATGGCACTTTTGAGTGCATCAAGAAATCCCCTTGTGTTCCAGTCAGAGTATGGTAAGATGGCATGCACATATTGCAACAACAGATTTTGCTTCATTTTTTATTCCCATCACTTCTGTATACAATTCATCACCACCACTGCCTCTCCCCTCCCCATTTGCACAATCATATGTACAATAAATGTCAATTAACAACAGAGTATTCCAAAATAAATGAATTATTTTGTATTTGCAACACTCTGATGACCTATCCAGTGTCAGCATTCTTGAACATCCTCCCCATCTCAATGTCATTACAATAAATGCATGCTGCCTAACGTATCAGTAAAAGGATGTCAATGTGAGATTGTAATATCAATAGTATGGTATTGTGTTTGGTGGGCAGCTAGTGTTTGTTTATCTTAACCATCTACATTCACACAGAATATAACAAAAAATGAAAATCATAGACCTAATGGCAGAAGGTATATGGAAAAATACATTTGACTTAAAAATACAGTATAGTTCCAGAAACTTGACTTCCAATAACTCAACATTCCATAAACCTTGTTTTGTTGTTCAAAATAAATAAAAATACATGTAATCTAAGTTTCACCTCTATAACTTAACACTAGAATCAAGTAAGTTACCATTCTTCACTGGCTACTTTCAATAACATTAATTTCATGTGTTTGCAAAGCAAGTAACCCTTTTTCCAAACTGCCACTGCAAAACATTACGATTCAAATGCAAATGACTTTAAAGTAACCACCGAACAGCCAATATTTTTATTACAATTGAACTACAAGTAGAAATAGTCACAATTGGTTTATAGTTAATGTGTATATGAATTTGTACATAAAAAGTTCTGCTATTTAGGCTATCATCATCACTGTTCATAATTCATCATTTTTGGAGATTCATTACCTTCTCAGTTCACAGTGAGTTTGCAGGATTCTACTGTACCAACAATTTTAACCTAGTGAAAACCCTATATACCAAATGTTCCCAACCTTTTTCGGGTGGCGACCCCTTTTTATAAAAGCCAAGTGACCCGCGACCCTGATACAATTGAAAAAGGCATTTTTAATAAGGTAATTAAAAAAACAACAAAATTAGTTTTTTTACTATAATTTTATTTTAAATTGTTTAATAATTTAATGCGATGGTTGAAATTGCATGTTATTAACCAGGCTCAAAATTCGCGGGCGAGTTTTTGTTAACGCCAACCTCATGTCATTCTCAACATTTAATTTATTCCTCTCAAACTCTCAACACATGTATCAACCAACTGTGACAGAATAGCGTACATAGATTACACTTATTTTAATTTTAAAAAAATATATGAAATTATTCAAACTTGAAGACACCATTAAAAATAAAAATTGCATTATAGTGAATATTTTTTTTTAGTTTACTGTATGAATTGGCGACCCCACAGAAAGCCCGTCGCGACCCATAGGTTGGGAACCCGTGCTATATACTGTGCCTGGAACCTATAGAGTTTCCAGTTCTTGCAATTTGGCATTACTGTGTAAATATCTCAATTAATTAGTTTAGAAAGTTATTTTAACAGTAATAGTTGAATTAAATAATACATCAATTAGTACACTACATGAAATTTAAAATGCTAACTTTATAAACTTTGCTCTCAAAGCATGAGTTTATTTAATATTTTATTTTTTATTACAATTTAAAAAATGATTATCAGGTTTCTATATTTCACTATTTCCATTTCAAAATTAAGAAACACAAATTATTCTATTTCTTACTCTAGAAACTTATGGTGTTGATATTTTGTTCCATCATCATATATCATGCTGCTCTTTAGTTTTAAATCTGAAATTGTGTGTGAAATGCTAATGGAAAAAGAAATTTGCCATAACGTGATTATAAATATTGTTCAGAAAAATTTTTTTCAGATTAAATTCAGAATCAAAAATCTAAGACCACAGTCACACTAGAATTTTTCTTACATTTTCAATGATGTAATTTATACAATGCAAATATAGCACTAAATCTTAATATTTCAGAACGTCCTCTTTTGTCTTGGTCTGATTCAACTAATGGAAAACCAGTCAAGCAAATTAAATGGTCTCCTAGTCAGCCATCTGTGTTTTTTGTTATGGATGCAGATTCGCGCATTTACATTTGGGATCTCAGTCAAAATATTTCAAGTCCTGTAGAAATTTGTGAACTATCACAAAATGGGTAAGATTTAAAGGATTAACTGCATTATTGCTCTACAAACTATTACTTGAAAATAATTAAATCATAGTATATAATTAGCATATTTTAAAATAAAAATGCTTTCTTAGTGTTTTAATTAATATAACACTACACTTAAACTGATATTTTTGAAACAATTATTTTTTCAGAATTAGTTGTCTTTGCTTTAGTTGTGATGCAGAAGTTAATAAAAAAGCATATTCAGGATGGCCACCACATCTGGTATGTTTTATTTTGCATATTATAATAAAAAATAAAACAATATTTAAATTTAAACTTTTTTTTTTTAAAAAAAAAACAACAGGCAATGGCAAGAGAAAATGGAATTTTAGAAATACATCAATTGGGCAAAAAATTTTCAACCCTCTCTCCACAGCAGTATGAAAAACAGAAACAAGTACTTTTAAATCTATAATCTCAATTGCTGAAATTGTAATATCTTAAAGAAGATTCCATCACAAAACACTTTGTTTAGAAAAAGAATTGTATTCGAAGAACATCTTGCACAATGAAATGTTTAATGAAATTCTAGTCAAATTTTTAGTATTTAATATTTTCTTTGTAAAATTTGTAGATATATTTTGTCCATAATGTTTTATTAAGCATTGACTCCGTCCATTTTAATACACTTGAATAAATAAAGTTTAGCATTTTTATACTGTCTTACTTTATTACTAAAAATTGGGCTTTACAATAGTACACTTTTGTACTTTAAAGAAAACATTCGCGTAAAACAATTAAGTGAATATACAACATATTATAATAATAAAATGTCTTTAAATGTTTAAAGACAAAACTTTACATTTTCATAATCATATAAAAAATTATTTTATTTAGTAAATTAAATTTTTCATTATTGACATTAAATTATGGCTGTGCACTTCTTGCTATCTGTTCTTTTAATATCATGATACTTTGACGCTGCTCGGGAGGTAACATTGAAATCTGCTGGTCCGACAACTGTAAAACTTGCATGATGAGAGCAGCCTTCTCTTGATCGGGAGTGGTTACCGGAGGTTGTGCGGGTGCGGGTACAGGTGCCGGTGCAGACATTCGCGGTCCCACAGATTGTACAGGTGGTATACCAGAAGTGGGAACGGTGGTGACGGGCATAGCCCCCCTGAGAGCCGTCAAAGGTCTGGTGGACATTCCCATTCCGGGAATATTTGGAGGCAGAGGATGGCTAGGTCTTGGAACATCGAATCTAACCTGAGATGGATTCATGCCTCTCGGAGCATCGAACGCACCTCTCTGTTCGAATGCGGCCGCCCTCGCTCCAAGACGGGGATCGAAGGGTGCCCCGCCACTTCCACCTCGATCTGGTGGGACGTTTCTAAAACGCGGATCAAACGGAACGTGACTTTCTGTAACACCCTGCACGGGAGGCAAAGTACGCAAGTCCTGATCGGCCATCATCTGCCTCATGTCGCGGTCTCCCAAAGGAAGTTGGCGCATGTCGCGATCGCCCAGATTCTGTCTCATGTCTCTGTCCCCCAAACTTCTGGCCAGACGGGGATCGAACGGTTCCGGAACCCTGCTTTCCGGAAAGGGCGGCACCACGCCCATCCGCGGTCCCTCGGCTCGCACTCCCAACGGAGGTCTGTCTCCGAGCAAGGAAGTGCGAAGGGCCGAAAACGGCGGCTTATTGCCACCAATGCTCACCTGAGGTTGGGTTCCCGGTCCGGGCAGAGGAGAACCATAAGACTGCGGAACAGAAACCACAGCAGACACCAAAGGAGGAGCACCGCACGCTCCAGACTGGCCGACCAACAGAGCCTGAGTTCCGGATGTCTCCCGAGGCACAGGCTGCTGGGTTTCGCCATTCGACTGCGGCAAGACCGAAGGAGGGTTGACATTCTGACGATACAGAATACTGAGAGCAACCTGCGGGTCGATAATTCTCATAATCACCTGAGCCTGTAGCAGTGCGTAAGCAAGTTGCGGATTCTGCAACAGCATGTTCCGAGCTTCGTTCGGATTGTTCTGGATGCACATTTTCATCTGTTTCATCAATTCGAACATCTGTTCCGGTGGTAAACTCGCCACGGCTTTAGAAATGGATTCTGGCGCTTCGTTCGATTCCACTTCCGTCCCATAAGGGCTTTCCGCCGGAGGACCACCCAAAGAAGCTTGTAAATTTTTTAGTTCCTCTTTATTCTTTTCGCTAGCCGCATTATCGACTCTCAACGCTCTCCCGTTAAATTCGTAACCATTGAGATTTCTCATGGCACTCAGAGCCGTATCCTGGTCTTTATATTCGCAAAACCCATAACCTTTGGGCTTACCGGTTTCTCTATCGTACACCAATCTGAAGCTGACGACGGGTCCAACTTCACAGAAAATGTCTTTCAGTTGTTCTTCTGTGGCTTCGTATGGTATATTACCGACAAAAACAGATCTCATAGACCGTTCGGCAGCCGATAAAGCTCCCTGTATGGCTGCCATTATTTAAACTTTCAGCAGAATTTCACAAAACATAAAAATCTCTCGTTCACGACACGTCTTGCAGTATTGCCAGATTTCTTCCGACCGTGTTATATAACGCCAATAATTCGCCAAAGTTTTTTCGCTTATATTCGAATTTTTTTTATTTTAATATTTAAAAACAAATTAATAATTCTAATGTACTTTGCTATTTTTTTAAACCATTTTAATATATTTTCAAAAAAAATTTTTACAAAAATACTAAGTATCGATAAATCTGATTAAAAAATATATTAAAATTGAATTCTATCCGTAAATTCTAAATAAAATTGTTTATTTACTTAATATTTTCGGAATGATCGAATTTTAATATAGAACACGAGAAAAAATGGCGATGACATTACTATAATCAGAGTCGGTAGATTAACTGGTCTTTCGACTTCCTATCTTCGCTCGTTGCTAGAATCAACTAGAGACAAATGTTACCACCAGGGGCACTGCAATCACTACAAGACCGCTAGATCGAATCCCTGTGAGGTCGAATGTTTTCTTTTTATTGAAAGATATATAACCTTCGAGTTCGATTTCATAATTTTTTATATGCATTTTATTATAAGAATGAAAAAGCTTTTATTTAAACCCAAAACCAGGTTTATGGATAAATAAATGACACTTAATAAAACATTAAACACCTTC